CAAAACAGCTAATAATCTGAGGGTTGTCCCCTCTAAAAATCTGATTAAAAACCACGCTGTGTATTGTAAATAACAATGTTTTATACTTTAAATAATAGTGTAAGTAGTAAAACAACACAAACGGGGCAAAATGTGTATTAAGTTTGAGGCTCTCCCTCCCTTGCCTCACAGTGATTTGGTCCAAATACCTGCTTTTTTCTTTTACATCACCTACACACACACACAAGTCCAGTGAGAGAGAACAAAATCAATAATTGTGGAACTCCAGTAAGTAAGGCTGTCAAGGCTATTTTATTCACTTAAGCCCGGCTCACACTGTGCGATTTTGGCCACGATTTGGTCGTCTGAGACAAATTTTTAAAATCCTAAAAGATTCCTATAATCCTAGGCTAAAATCTGTAGTCTTTGATCATTAGTTTGACATGTTCACCGACAGCCGATTAATGACAGTTGCGATCAAATTTTACCTCCGAACTTCTGGCAGCATCAGAGGATTTGGCGCACAGCCCTGCAGTGTGACATCTATGACGAACGTCAAACTGTCTTCATTTTTCAAGACAAGCCATGATCAGAATTAATGCTAGATTTCTTCTAACCGCATAAACTCCGGCGCTCTCGTCCTCCGCTCACGGAATTCATATGATTCGTTGCCTTTGCTATGATAAAGACCGGTTGCGCTGCTTTTTTCATGTGGGTGTGTAGTGCTGCTTGCACTATTCTGCATAAATACGCCAGTATTGCCGCCATTCATATACTTTTAATGATAGCCAACATTACAGCCCCACGTGCAATGCAGCTCACAGTCACTGAACATGTATGGGTTGATAATGTAGATGTGGCGGAGACGAAAGACGTGCGGATCCAAATGCAAAGCTTTATTCAAAGACATGGTCAGAAACAGGCAGGGTCGAACACCAGCAAACAGATATGTAGAGGGCAAGACACAAGAGTATTCCTAGTGGGTCTTCGGGTCTTCGTTCGGCAAACGTAAACCAGAGGGTAGTGATGTGACGTTCGACACCGAGGCTTCGAAGCTTGAAACTAAACAGCTTGTATCAAAAAAACTAAACATCTCACAGTGAAGCACTGTACCGGAGCGTGATTCGTTTTTTGCCAAAACCACGTGATCGGTGACGTCCGAAGCTTCGTTTTCACACACAACAATGTGACTGCTTCGTATTCTGATTCAAATAACGCAAACCACTTGCGCAGTTTCAGGTGTCACTGACATCTTTGAAAAGAATAAATCATAATACAAATAAATATTTGCATGTGTAGTGTTGTGCATGTTCATTTTGTATTACTTTCTGGTTCACGGACACTTTAACTGACCATTGTATTTGATAATCTTCTGTTATTTTGATCATAGCCTATATATGCCTACAGCCTTGCCTATTTTCCGCAAATTTATTCACAGACTCATGTATTCATATTGTGTATTACAATGACTGACATGAAGACTTATTTATATAGACTTCATTTTTTCTTTGCTTTATACAGGTTTTCATAGCACAAACTAATTTATTATCTGAAACCGTCCAAAAATGGCTGGGTCGTCTGGGATGCAAAGGCAGCTTTTTCCACCTTTTGACCACAAGATGTCTTTAGTGTGTAGCGTCTTGAAAAGCTTCGAGTAATGAACCTTTTTACGATACAGTTGAGGGAAAAGCCTCAGTGCTTCGCAAAGCTTCATTTTTCCATCACTACTAGAAACTAGAGCAGAAGGCTCCATAATGTAACTATCACTGGGAAAGCAATACACACTAAACAATACCCAGCGATTAGAGAAGGATTGAGTGGTTGTTATATAGTGTGTGTGTGATTGGCTGCAGGTGAGTCCAATCAGTGCAATGGAGCATGGGAAATGTAGTCCAGGGTGAGACGCAACAGTTTGTGTGCTGTGAGAGTCAATGTAATCAGAAGGTGACCTCTGGTGGCGAGCAGACGGAAGACCACGGACCGGATTCGTGCCACATACAGGTGCATCTCAATAAATTAGAATGTCATGGAAAAGTTCATTTATTTCAGTAATTCAACTCAAATTGTGAAACTCGTGTATTAAATAAATTCAATGCACACAGACTGAAGTAGTTTAAGTCTTTGGTTCTTTTAATTGTGATGATTTTGGCTCACATTTAACAAAAACCCACCAATTCACTATCTCAACAAATGAGAATATGGTGACATGCCAATCAGCTAATCAACTCAAAACACCTGCAAAGGTTTCCTGAGCCTTCAAAATGGCCTCTCAGTTTGGTTCACTAGGCTACACAATCATGGGGAAGACTGCTGATCAGACAGTTGTCCAGAAGACAATCATTGACACCCTTCACAAGGAGCCACAAACATTCATTGCCAAAGAAGCGGGCTGTTCACAGAGTGCTGTATCCAAGCATGTTAACAGAAAGTTGAGTGGAAGGAAAAAGTGTGGAAGAAAAAGATGCACAACCAACCGAGAGAACCGCAGCCTTATGAGGATTGTCAAGCAAAATCGATTCAAGAATTTGAGTGAACTTCACAAGGAATGGACTGAGGCTGGGGTCAAGGCATCAAGAGCCACCACACACAGACATATCAAGGAATTTGGCTACAGTTGTCGTATTCCTCTTGTTAAGCCACTCCTGAACCACAGACAACATCAGAGGCATCTTACCTGGGCTAAGGAGAAGAAGAACTGGACTGTTGCCCAGTGGTCCAAAGTCCTCTTTTCAGATGAGAGCAAGTTTTGTATTTCATTTGGAAACCAAGGTCCTAGAGTCTGGAGGAAGGGTGGAGAAGCTCATAGCCCAAGTTGCTTGAAGTCCAATGTTAAGTTTCCACAGTCTGTGATGATTTGGGGTGCAATGTCATCTGCTGGTGTTGGTCCATTGTGTTTTTTGAAAACCAAAGTCACTGCACCCGTTTACCAAGAAATCCAAATTCCTTGACATGTCTGTGTGTGGTGGCTCTTGATGCCTTGACCCCAGCCTCAGTCCATTCCTTTTGAAGTTCACTCAAATTCTTGAATCGATTTTTCTTGACAATCCTCATAAGGCTGCGGTTCTCTCGGTTGGTTGTGTATCTTTTTCTTCCACACTTTTTCCTTCCACTCAACTTTCTTTTAACATGCTTGGATACAGCACTCTGTGAACATCCAGCTTCTTTGGCAATGAATGTTTGTGGCTTACCCTCCTTGTGAAGGGTGTCAATGATTGTCTTCTGGACAACTGTCAGATCAGCAGTCTTCCCCATGATTGTGTAGCCTAGTGAACCAAACTGAGAGACCATTTTGAAGGCTCAGGAAACCTTTGCAGGTGTTTTGAGTTGATTAGCTGATTGGCATGTCACCATATTCTAATTTGTTGAGATAGTGAATTGGTGGGTTTTTGTTAAATGTGAGCCAAAATCATCACAATTAAAAGAACCAAAGACTTAAACTACTTCAGTCTGTGTGCATTGAATATATTTAATACACGAGTTTCACAATTTGAGTTGAATTACTGAAATAAATGAACTTTTCCACGACATTCTAATTTATTGAGATGCACCTGTAGTGGGGGAGGTGCATAACCATTTAAAATCTTAAAAATCAAGCAAGCATCAACCAAATGTTTAATATTATCAAAACTCATATTGCAATAATGATAACTATTAGTCCTCTGATCAAATATTTTAAGCGTCTGTTTGTAAAGAGATTCAATTGATTTTAAAACTGTTGTGCTTGCTTGTGACCAACTCATAAAGCAATATGTAATATGAGAAAAAAATCATAGCGTGCATGAAGAGTTTTGCTGCTTCTATTGTTAAGCATGGTCTTGTATGCCTGAAGTTAGCCAAATTAAATGTAATAATTTTAGCTACCTTTTTTGGCATGCTTTTGAAATGTCAGTTGGGAATCTAAAATTACTCCCAAGTATTTAAAATCAGAAACAACCTTGAGCTTGTCTCCTTTATCAAATACATCAGGATGAGGACGCACGGTTGGTTTTTGTGAGAAATACATACAGACAGTTTTGCTTATATTCAAATGTAAATATGAGAAACACGGACCAATACCTCAGCACATACATAAAATCAAATGCACATATAAAACTGTCATCAGCATACATTTGAATACTAACAGATGAACAGACTAGTGGCAAGTCATTAATATACAAACTAAACAAGATAGGGCCCAGAATTGATCCTTGAGGAACTCCAATATTACAATTCCGGTACATTGATCGATTGACTATTACCTATTAAGCGTGAGCTTTGAAAGAAATACCTCATGGTTCACAGTGTTGAACGCCTTCTTTAGATCCAAAAACACTGCTCCTATTACTCCACCACCATCAAGTTTAGATGTCATGTTCTCAAGAAGATAACAATTAGCAGTTATAGTTGAATGATTAGAGCGAAATCCAAATGGCATTGAATGCAAAGGGGTATGTCCCTCATTCAAGTAAGTAATCAACTGCTTTGCTACCCCTTTCTCAGCCACTTTGGCAACTGTAGGCAATATAGTTTCCTACATTTCTTTGATCGCCACACTATGGCTGACTTCCAAGCATCTGGATAAATACCTTGCATAATTGAGAGATTAATTAAATGGGTAATAGGACAAGCTAAAGTATCCTTATATGTTTTTTAAAATGCAGTATCTAATCCGTATGCATCCTTCGCTTCTGAGGCTCTGAAAGATCTTATAATACGTATTACTTCTAATTCAGATATTTCGCTTATTCTAAAAATGGGTTTATTATGATCGATTGAACTACACACAGTATCTTTAGATGAAAAGCGTATTATTAATGGCGCGTCTAAAAATAACTGAAACTGTATTAAAGTTTACTGTTGCCATTATGTTGGTGTTGTCACGCCTGTTACTTTTCTCAGCGCTTTTCAGAATGGACAAATCACAGACGTCTGTGATTAATACATCATTATTTGTGTTCATTCACCGATGCATAAAATCTCCGTTCGTATATCGAATACCAGTCGCTCAAATGAATGCATTTAAACGCGTATCTAGCGCATAGATCTCCGGCGGGAGAGAAAACATGTGAGCTGGGAGCGTCGCCTGCGGGTGACGTCATCAGCGCGGGACAGGCGCTGTGCTCCACGTGTTGCTCCACGTGTTCCCCGCGGTGTTGTGATCTGCAGGAACCTTTCGGCGAATATCATCATGTCTTCGAGCTGTCGCAGACCCGAGCATATGGCCCCTCCGGAGGTGGTGAGTGAACGCGTTATGTGAGCTATGTCTTGTAGAGGAGGTCAGTTTGCACCCGAGATCTGGAGCTAGATTACAGAAGAGGGACAATGACAGCTGATTCATGTCATCTACAGACTATTGAGAGCAAGCTGGTGTGCCTCAGTGTGTTTGTGGCACTGAGAGTCAGGTGTGTTCTGTGCAGTTGCTTTGATAGATGCATGTTTTGTTTCGACATGTGTTGTTCTTGTTAGATGGGTAATACAGTATCTAGCCATATTCATGTCATCTACAGACTATTGAGAGCAAGCTGGTGTGCCTCAGTGTGTTTGTGGCACTGAGAGTCAGGTGTGTTCTGTGCAGTTGCTTTGATAGATGCATGTTTTGTTTCGACATGTGTTGTTCTTGTTAGATGGGTAATACAGTATCTAGCCATATACATCCCCATATCTCTGGAAATGAATCATATAAGGCCTAAAATTCCAAAAGAATGTTAATAGAACAGAATCTAAGAATATATCAAGATATCTTTCATACTTCTGGAGTTGCAGACATGCAAATTGCGGTGTTAAAAACAAACCAACAACCTTTTTCCCATTTTTGAACTGCCACCGTTGCAGTACACATGTTCTTAACTGTGTTTTTACTAATAGATCTGCTAAACGCCTGTAAAAATCTTTCCATCTTTCTAAAGTGGCTCCAAAAGCCAGGTGAAGACCCTACAAATAGTGAATTTAGTCTTTATCATTTATGCATTTCTCTCATCATAAAAAAGTATCAATCAATATTTTTAGCAGGGTTCCTCTGGTTGAGTTGAGGAGGAATGACCCAATAGCTTAATTCCTACAATCACAATCTCCTCCTACAGTTGGCCATATACTGTGCTGTTGTCTATCATGTGTGTAAATGCTTGTTGGTTTTATATTTACAGTTCTACAATGAACAAGAGGCCAAAAAATACTCCCAAAAGTAAGTACATTGACAGTGCGTCTGGTCCAGTACTTTTTGCCTGTACTGCCAAGATTGCACATGCAGCATTTTTACAAGCAATGAATGCTACCAAACCGTTATTATTCCACTGTAATGTAAGACATAAATGCATGCACATGAAGAGTTTAAGCAAGCCGAATTCAGCAGTATGCGTTGATGTCTGTGCTCCGCAGCTCTCGGATGATAGAGATCCAGACGCAGATGTCGGAGCGAGCCGTGGAGCTGCTCAGTCTCCCCGAGGACCAGCCCTGTTACCTGCTGGATGTGGGGTGAGCGCTGCGCTGGTTCTGACGGCGCTTCTCTGTATGAATGTGTGTTACACTGTCAGGCTAGTAATGCTGTGTTCACCTGCTTGAATCCGTCAGCTGTGGCTCTGGACTCAGTGGAGATTATTTATCTGAAGCTGGTCACTATTGGGTTGGTGTGGACATCAGCACAGCCATGCTGGGTGAATAAACCACACTCTCATGCACACGCACACACACACACACACTCAACGCAAACACGCACAAACACACATACACACACACACTCACGCAGTCAAACACTCACACACAACACACACACACACACACACACACCATACACTCACACCATACTCACGCACACACACACACCATACACACACACACACACCATTCACACACGCACACACACACTCGCGCGCGCACACACACATACACACACACACTCACACCATACACACACACGCGCACACACACACACTAACGCACACTCACACCATACACACACACACACACCC